AGTCTTACACTGCTAAATTAGGGACGGCTAGCGCAGATACCCCTCGTGTAGCTTTGCGCGAAATTAAAAAACAAACAAACAAAGTGGATCACAAGAGGGAGTTCCACCTCGTTCAGAATCCCAACTTAACCACTGTTTGGTTCTTTATTACAAAATAAAATAGTGAAACTTTACATTCTGCTTTACCTTGCACATGCATTTTCAAAAATAATCATAATATTTTGTGTTTTATCTATATTATTTCAAGTAGCATTAGTAAGCCTAACTCGAGAATTTTGATATTGTTACGACAGCGGGGGTCACGTGACTCTAGTAACACGTCATATTCTCGAAGGTTCGTGAATCCTCGAGAGGTTACTAGATGTATGGTATTCTTATATATAAGACGGTCAAGACGTGACGGGAACAAAATAATGTGTAATTGAACTGCGGACAGAGAGAGAGAGTATTGTTGAGTCGAGCACGTGAGACGTTCGTTGTGAATTATAGCGTTTGTTATAGCGCGACTGTGGAAATTAAGTGTACTGCAAAGTTGTATTTAGAGAGAATAAACCAGTTTTATTTAAAAAAGGACTTGTATCGGTAAAGTTTCTTCGGAAAGAATTTTTACGGAAAATTAACTAACGAACGGAGACGTAACAATATGTTCTAATTTAATAATACGTGTGAATTTCAATTTAGATCAGAAGAATTTAACCAAATGAATAAACGTCATGCAAAATGAAATAACAGGTGTTCATTATTGTTATTTTTCTTTAACTTGTCTCATTTCATAAACAGAGGTACTTGCAAAGTCAACGAGACACTCCCCTTCAATGTAAAAGGTACCTAGAGTGGTCAAAGCTTGTATTAGGTCTTCCAACTTTGATAGATTCTCTGACCGAAAAAAACACCAAAACACAGAATGGAAAAGCCCAAGCTAAACTGTAAGGATTATCAATCTATGTGTATATTGTAATTATAGAAAAACTAATATTATATGGAAGTATACTGTGTGTATGTTTTCAACCAGTTCATATTATCAGACTTTTCATTACTGGAAACCGCTGAAACGCGGGCTTAGTAATATATCCTACAGTAATATATACTTTATTATGCGCGTGAGTTATAAATCGTTGATACAAACTTGAAACAGTTTAATGTAATTTGAAATATATATATTTGTTTTGTATAAACAACTGCGCATACAACACCTTATATATTAAAATTTGTTTGTTTTTTGCACATTTAATATAACATCATTTTCTAACTTCCACAAATAATTTTATGTTTATAATGTCCTATTGAAATTCGATGACGAGGAACCCACTTTGAGACTAATAATGCTTGGAGACGGCTTGAATGGATAATTAAGAAAAACTTTAATATAAATTGAACATAACAACAAATGTACAACGTTTCGACAAGGTTTTGTCATCATCATTCCTACTGAAGTGTAAATATAGGGGGCGTAGAGCAATAACAATAATTATCTAACAAAGACAAATTTACAATTTTATAGGTCAAGCATCGTACGCATTGTAAAAACCACATAATTTAATTTTTGCTTGAGAAACAGTCTGAATATACGGTATTAAGTCAGTGGTTGTATTGTATTGTTTAAGGATAGAAGCAATGTCTGAAACTTTCTCTAAATTGTAGGGAAAATGTTGAGTTATACATAAAATTCGAGTCTGTTAGAGTGAGTGAGATGTTGAATCAGAAAAAGAGATTGCTCAGAAACCTAAAAGATCAAAATATTAATCAAAAACCAGCCATGACCAAATATTTCCATGTCGTACCAGACCAAACAATCTCTATGGGCTACCAAAATTCATAAGTCGGGTTATCCACTTCGACCAATTCTTTGGTCTGTTGGATCTTGTTAGAACGATTTATTGTTCCTATTGTTAAACCCTTGACGACTAATTAATATACCATTAAAACTTTAATGTTTTCTTCTGAAATTTCAAAAATCTCTTCCCCTAATTAATATATTATGTCTAGCTAGCCTAGATACCAAATCTCTCTCTCTCTCTTCACCAACATTCCCCTGGATGACATTTTAGAAATAAGTTCCCGACAAATGCTAATTTTAATCATGGTTTTAGCCGAAAAAATTCCACAAATTCTAACCCTCGCCAATAAGGTGAATTAAACATGTCTGATACTTTTCACTATAACATAGGTCCAGCTTATCTCTCTTTGGTTAACTTGTGCTTAGGGTTACTGATGAGGAGTGGAATTCTCCGAAACCAGTATAACCCCTATAACAGACGTTCATCAAAGTGTAGATTGAACTGGACCTCCCTTGAACTTAAGACTTCGAGATTAAACAATTTTCAGAATACCAAGTTTATTTATATTATAATAAGGTAGATCATTTAG